AAAGATCTTTCTGGACAATTCTCTTACGAGCATTGTTTTTACTCCTATCTTCTCTTGGCTCTGGAAGTCTGATATTGAACTTCCTTGGTGTTAAGACCACATTTCATGGAAGAGATTTAACAAATAGAGGGGAAGGTTAAAATGAGAAGGGCTGTGGCTGTGTCCATTCTCTGAGGAATAGATTTTCATGCACATCCTTCCAATGCACAAGTGCTATCTCTCTTTCTCTTGACAATTGACTCCATTTGTTCCTTCTCCTACACTTCACTTATAATGCACAAAAGTCAGCCCTGAAAACTTAACCTATGACTTGGAGTCATCACGATTTAATAGCTGTGTGATCATAGAGCAAGCATTTTGCCTCCATGATCTTCAGTATCCTCATCAGTAAAACATGGACTTCACAGAGTTATTCTGAGGTTTAGAGGAGCTAATGGATGAAGAAAAGTTTAGTAATATGTAAAACCAAGAGTCTTGACGCTAAGATACTAGGCTTGGTTAAGAGAGGAGGCAATGTAGGGCCTCAATGGAAATTCCTGAGGCTGCACCACTATATTTACATCCCCGCTTAAGCGTCTTATTTCCTGAGATAAAGATTCTCAGCTAGAATTCATGGTGATAGAAGTTATTCTTCTATATTGTTTTGTCCTGATAGGAATTATTTTGAGCACAGGAGAAAGATGGAAACAAACCCGGCGTTTTTCCCTCATGGTTTTGAGGAATATGGGGATGGGGAAGAAGACTATTGAAGACAGAATTCAAGAGGAAGCCTTGTGTCTGGTGGAAGCATTAAAACAAACCAATGGTGTGTATTTCTTCATGTAATTAACAGTAATAATTTGGGTAGACTAAATGCTATTACAAGCAAACTACAGAGAGATATGATGGCTCAAGTACAACAGAAGTTTACTTTTTGCTCACATAACAGTAGTAAGAGGTGATGTGGTTGATGTAACAGTGTTTTCAGGTAACGGGTTGATAAGGGCTTTCATATCTTCAATATGTGGCATCCATTGTCTCCCAGGATTCATCTCTTTGCATGGTAGTGGAGGAGAAAAGAACAAGAAAAAGAGCAAATAGTGTTTTCAATAGGCCAGGTATAGCAGTGGCACACAAAACTTTCACATTTTGTAAGCTATAACTCCGTCACAGGGCCACACTTAATTTAAGAGGAGCTGGGAAATGTGCTTATCTGTGTGCACAGGAGGAAGAGCAGAACATGGATTTAGGTAATAAGCTGTTTGTTTTGGCCACAATATTTTGAAAAACAAAGTAATTTGTCTAGTGACTTTTTGAGAAACATTGCAAGCATTTCACAATATATGTATGCAAAGTCATTATGCCGCGCCCCTTAGACTTATAGAGTGGTGCCTGCCAATAACATCTCAATAAAACGGGAAAAAAAAGCATTGGTGGCTCAGTGGAAGAATTCACACAAAACCCTTCTCAGTGAGTAGGGGTGCCTTACAACTCACCTAGAGGAGAGTGGGTGTCAGAAAGGGAGCCACGGTAGCACAAACCTGCTAAGTATGTGTATGTGTGTATGCATATGTAGGACTGGGAGGTGGGTGGGGAAGAAAAGGGCAGGCAGAAGACTTGGCAAAGAAGGAGTAAGATCAGCATCATAAGATACATGTGTTTTTTTTTTATCTCAGTATTTAAAAATTTTTAAGAACATTATTGACTGAATGATACTATATTCTACATGGTAAATTGTCATTGTGTTTTTTAACTAATGTTGTGATATTGTCCAGATAGGTTGATCTCTTTTATTTTCTGATATTAATACTAAAAAATGCAATTATTTCAAATATTTGCATGATTCTGGTTTCTTCCTTGGAATAAATTTCTGGAAATGGCAGTAGAGTGTCAATGAACACTGGACTTTTGGTGCATATTACCTAGGAATGGGTGGGAGACGTGGCAGAAGAAGAAATAAGAACAGAAGGCTTATACTGCATATTTTGCTGCATCAACTTATCTTTAAATTTAATATATTAAATAAATATTTCCACATGTTTAGTTTTTAAATGTTTATCAAGTAAAGTAATGAAATCGTACAGTATTCCATTATTTTGCATGTGCCATAGCTTATTTCACCAGTCTTTTATTTTTGGCGAGATAGACTGTTTTTGGTTCTTTGTTGCTATTAACACAAAAAATACAATCCATATTAATCATTGCCTATCTCTGACTACTTTCTTAGAATAAAATTTTGGAAATGAATTAGTAAGTCAAAAAATATTGGATTTTGATACATACTATCTGGGAAATGATTCTGTGCACTTAATTTATATTTCAAGCAGAACTTATTGTTAACTGGTTCCACTTTTCCCATAGTGAATATGACCTTCTCTCAGCTTCTGACCTATGATCACGCAGACTCGGCTTGATTCCGTGTAGCTATGGGGACCTCACATTATTGGGGTAACCCATTCCATTACTGGGTAACTCTAACTGTTGGAAGTTTCTTCCACGTGTTGAGCAGAACCTTTTTTCTTTGTAATTTTTACTTTTTGATCCCTGCTAAGTTTATTCCTTTTGGAATTATTGTGTTGTGGTGGTCCTCTCACGGAGGCTGGATGGTGCCACACACACCCCAATCAGATATGAAAAAGTTTATTACTCACATAATGAGGCTTTCTGTAAAGTGTAGGGTTGCTCCTAAGCAGATCCAAAGACAACTTGAGAGAGCAGGGAAAGCATACTGGCTTGAGGTTTTTATGGTGGTTAGGGGGTGGGGTGGTGATGAGTGTTTCCATGTACAGGCCAGGGCTGAGTGGTTCAAACTTCCTGCTTGTGCCAAAGGAGGGAGCACTTGAGCTTTTTTATCAGCTTGTGCAGATATGAGCAGAAGAAAAGGGGAGGTTTAAAAGCTGTCAGCAGCCAAACACCAAAAAATGGAGTCATATTCCTTATTACATATAGATAGCCTGTTTTCAATATTATAACATGTTTTTTCAATTATCTGAGTGTAACTCGTGTTTCTCTCATTATTCTTCTCTTCTGCAAGGAGAACACACCCAACTTTTTTCAACTATGTTTTGTAAAATATGATTTCAAGTCTCCTGATTTTCCTATTATGTTGCTCCATTTCCTGTGGGCATCGTGAAGAAGTATCCACAATGAGAGCTAAATATTACAATTTAAAGTTATTTTTAAATGACCTCCTTACTGTGAATTACTTTGTGGCTCTTATTTGGAGGATGATGTAAATAGGAGAATACTTGGGGGAAATTAATAAATAAATTGGACCAGATTAGATAGTTTTGTTGGGGGAAACAGAATAAATTTTATTTTAGACATGTTGAGTTTATAGTGATGATGGCATGTCCAGGTAGTCCTTATACTTAACAAATCTTAGAAGCCAAAATTTTCAATTATTTTAAACAGTCAGCTTAAGATGTATATGGAAATTTTGCATTAACTTTTAACTTCTATTGTTTTTAGCATTGCCCTGTGATCCTACTTTCCTGCTGGGCTGTGCTCCGTGCAATGTGATCTGCTCCATTATTTTCCAGAGTCGTTTTGAGTACAGTGATGAGAAATTTCTAACCTTGCTAAATTATTTTCATGAAAACTTCAGAATTGTAAACACTACCTGGATGCAGGTAATGTCAAGTTTCTCTTTAAATGAAAAGTAATTTTCTAGCTAATCTATTGTTCATGCCTACCCCATCCCTTTGCCCTATTTCAAAATCGCTAAAGTAATGCTTATCAAACTATCATTTGTAATCATTTAGTGAGTTATAAAATCAATTTAATTGTTAAAATGAAATTTAAAACATGAAATATAGTAATAAAAAGAAAAAATATAATGTCATAATACATAAATTGTAGCAAGGTTTTTTTTTTTTTTTTGTGGGGAAGATCATCCCTGAGCTAACATCTGTGCTAATCCTCCTCTTTTTTTGCTGAGGAGGACCGGCTCTGAGCTAACATCTATTGCCAATCCTCCTCCTTTTTTTTTTCCCCCAAAGCCCCAGTAGATAGTTGTATGTCATAGTTGCACATCTTTCTGGTTGTTGTATGTGGGACACTGCCTCAGCATGGCGGGAGAAGCTGTGCTTCGGTGCACGCCTGGGATCCGAACCCCGGCCGCCAGTAGAGGAGTGCACACACTTAACTGCGAAGCCACGGGGCCGGCCCTAGCAAGGTATTTTTTTGAGAAAGTTTTTTTCTGATTTTTATCTTTAGAGATGAAGAGGATGATGATGTAAAATATATTTCTTACTATCGTAGCCTGTCAGAAAATGTTAGTAACCCACATTGTGCAATCATTAACAACTAAAATTCTATATGGATCAATATAGTTACGAGATTAACTCAACTGGGATGAACACTAGGTTCTGGCTCTGTCATAGCTTAGTGTTTTAGGCTGGTTGACTGACCTTTCTGAACCTCCATCTCCTCGTTTGGAAAGAGGTGGTATGCTGCTTAATTTCTTCAGAGAGCTATGCTTAGGAAATGAAGTTAAATAGTTTTGAAATTGCTTTGTAACTTGTTCATACTGCAACTCTGGCCATTTTATCAGTTCCTTCTCCTTCAAACTCCAAGTATGTTTCAGTGCAGGAAGGTTGTCTTATTCAACTTATCTACTCAGTGTATAGCAAGGGGTGTGATATATAGCATGGGCCCATAAAAGTTTGCTGAGTGAATTATTATTATTATTTTTTTGCGTGAGGAAGATCAGCCCTGAGCTAACAACCATGCTGATCCTCCTCTTTTTTGCTGAGGAAGATGGGCTCTGAGCTAACATCTATTGCCAATCCTCCTCCTTTTTTTTCCCCAAAGCCCCAGTAGATAGTTGTATGTCATAGTTTCACATCCTTCTAGTTGCTGTATGTGGGACACGGCCTCAGCATGGCCAGAGAAGCGGTGCCTTGGTGCACACCCGGGATCCTAACCCCGGCCGCCAGTAGCAGAGCGCGCGCACTTAACCGCTAAGCCACCGGGCCTGCCTGCCAAGTGAATTAATAAATAATTCTTTCCTCTTTCAGCTCTGCAACGCTTTCCCTTTTTTAATACGTTGTTTCCCAGGAAGTCATAATGCATTATTTAAAAACATTGCTGACCAACAAAAGTTTATTTTGGAGAAAATAAAAGAACATCAAGAATTCCTGGACCTCAATAACCCCCGAGACCTTATTGACTACTTCCTGATTAAAATGGAAAAGGTATCATGTGACCCTGATTTGCTACTTCATCTTTGTGGATGATGTGACTCCTAGATTAACTTTGTTATTCCCAGTGAAATTGGGATATTAAAACAAATTTTCCTTCCTAACGACGTATTAATTGCTTGTGGAGACTACTGCATGAGAAACTTTATTGGGTGTCTTTATATATTTCTAAATTCTCACTAAAAATAACTTAGAAGGTTTTATATTTACCATGTTAAAGCTGGCTCAATATTTGGAGGCAAATTGAAATACACACACACTCATATTCAAGATTAATGATAGTACAACATATTATCATTTATAAAATTAGTTCCATCAATGAAAGATGTAACAAAGGAGGGAAGACAGGAATGGATAGACATCTAGAAAGCCTTGCCCTTGGAAAGACACTAGGAAATCTTCACTGATGAGTTAGGTTTTAAGGAAACTCTGGCTTAGATGAACAGAGATGACAAATAGGTCCAGGGAATGATAAGTGCAGTGATCAGTGCATAGAATTTTCAGAGAGATTATCTTGATTGCAACTGAGGAACTGTCGTGGTGTAACGACTGATGAGGTTGGGAATAGTGATGCATTTTCGGGATGGGTGGTTCTGGAGGCTCGAATGAGAAATTTAAACATGATAAAATTTGCTAGAATTGACAGTGAGCAGCAGTATGACTTGATAAAAATTAAGTTTGAAAGAAATTATAGAGAAACTGATTGGCTCTAGTGGGTGAGAAAGTGAGGAATCAGAAAGGACTTGGAAGTTTGTAACTCTGTGTATATTTTAACAGTTTGAAGAATCCTAACAATCATCTAACTTTACCTTTAGCTACAGCACTCTCTAGTGTCTGGCGTAATTTGGCAAATAAGCAAATTGAGCAAATAATGATGTTATATTGAGATTTTTATGTTATCTCTGAGGCTTTTTTATTTATCAAGTGATTCTAACACATCGTTGCTAGGAAAAACACAATAAACAGTCTGAATTTACCATGGATAACTTGATCACTACCATATGGGATATGTTTAGCGCAGGAACAGAGACAACAAGCACCACCCTGAGATATGGACTCCTGCTCCTGCTGAAGCATCCAGAGGTCACAGGTATGATCACAGATGATGGGCAGCGTGAAATTCCAGGTGGAAGTTGGCAGGCAACACTGATACATATCCCACTGTTTACCTGCCTAGGCAATATGCAAGACAATTTCCTATCATTAGTACATCTTCTTATTATTGGTGAATTTAGTTCAAATTTGATTATAGTCCAAAAAGAGAACAAAATATTTAAACAGCAGCAGAAATTTGAAGAGCAGAGGTCACTGTTCTCCCTGCTATGGTGGAGTCTTCTTCCTTTGGGTCGGGAGAAATGCAGTAAGCTCAGCTGTCTGAGAATCTGGAAAGAATTAACCTTCTTCTTTCTATAAGAAAGATATCTTTCAATATGCTTTCCATGTGCAGATAAATATATTTCTGTTAAAAGATATTTTTACTCAAATTCATTTGCAATGTAAGGACTGACTCAAGAAAATGACAATCCTTTTCTGTCAAAGAGACACTTTCAAAATAAAAAGAGTAGTACACAAAGAAATAATTATTTTAAATTGTCCAATTTGGGCAAACAAGTTTTTACACTACTATATCGTGTTTTGTGCTCTGGTGCATTAAGATACTTTTAGCATGATTAAGCCTCACAACCTTAACTCAATGACATCAGCACCAGATTTTTCTACCTTGTTAAAGATCCTTCTGCCCTCTTATTATAAATAGGAGATGCTTTGCAAATGGTACAGTTTAGAAGCATAGCCTCAAAATTCTTTTGCTCACACACTTTGTGGGATATGATGGTGCTGTGTTTCTTTCATGTAATAGACTCTCTCAGCCAAATAATTTCACTAACTCTTATGAGACTTATGTTGATTATTATTATAAATAGTATATGACATTTTTCTCCAAACCTTTAAATCTTGTATACATTTCAAAAGCCCTTCTTGTGTCATATTTCCCCATGCTTCCATTTTCACTTTCCACTTGGATTTTTTCTCGCACCATGTCTATTTATATTTTCCTTTTCTTTCTTCTCATCTTCATCACTTACTGTGCTATTCTACTGACCATTCTGATTTTATAAGTAGTTCCTAAACACTTTATATAACCATTCTCTTCTAGATAAAACTTCAGCTTCTATGGCCGGCTTGGTGGCACAGCAGTTAAGTTTGCATGCTCCATTTCGGTGGCTCGGGGTGCACAGGTTCGCATCCCGGGTGCAGACACATGCACTGCTTATCAAGCCATGCTGTGGCAGCATCCCATATAAAGTAGGGGAAGATGGGCATGGATGTTAGCCCAGGGCCAATCTTCCCTAGCAATAAAGAGGAGGATTGGCAACAGATGTTAGCTCAGGGCTAATCTTCCTCACAAAAAACAATCAAACAAAACCTCCAGCCTCTCACCTGAGGTGAAGTTTAAAACTTCTCTGAAATCCCTTAAATTTTCTTCTTTATAGCTATCAAACCACAGAATGTTCACATGCTCCGTTACAAAGACACATTCTGCAGGTAGTAGATAAATACCATTTGACCAAAGTAGCAACATGGTGTTGGAAAAAATGGGTTATAGACTCGAGCAACAGTCTTCAGAGTCTGACTCTACCAGTAAGTAGCTGTGTGACCTCAGACTCATGACTATGTCTATCATATCTTGGTCCCTCATCTGTTTAAGTGAGATAATAATACTTCCTAACATTCCTAGACTTTTCTCTCGTAGCAAAAAGTTAATAAATGTTTGCTTTAACTAATAAATAGTCCTACTTAAACTCTATATGATTAATATGAAATATTTTGCAGATAAAGGAAAAATATAATTCTCAAATAGAAATTACTTTCAGTAATGTTATTCAGTTTTCTAAGATTGTGGGTTTTGGAATGAGAAAGACCACATAATACCTGGATGTCCTTAAGACATATATTTACCTTTCCAAACCTATTTCCTCATTTTTAAGATGTATAAAATACCCAACATGTAGAACTATTTTGAGGAATTATAAAGTAATATAGCAAATAGTGCATCATGCCTGCTATATTTTACATTCTAAATAAATAACTTATGTCTTGTTCCTATGTACTGAGTCTACTAAACATCTTATTCAATTGTTGTATTAGTGACGTATTTACTGTATTGTGCAGTTCCTTCTTTCTTGGAACTTACATATTTAAAACAAAAACCGGCATACACAAAGTGGTTAAACTACGTTGTCTGTAGTGAGCCTTCAAGATCTCAGATCCTTCATTCTGTCAAACAAAAGTATACGAAATAGAAAATCAGAGTTGAGAAAGGAATTTCATGGTACAATTGGGTTTTATATGTATATATATATTTAGGTCTCTAATGAGATTCCAATTTTCCCAGGAAACTGAAATTCTGTTTCTTTTTTTTTTTTTTTTATGGAAGTAGCCATACATAGTTTTCCTTTCTCCCCATCTCCCACTATAATGTAACCATGATTAACAAGATCAAATTAAAAATCTTTTCTATTTCACATAAATTCTGATTCCTACCTTGCCAGCTAAAATCCAGAAGGAGATTGACGTTGTGGTTGGCAAACACCGGAGCCCCTGCATGCAGGACAGGAGCCATATGCCCTATACGGATGCTGTGGTGCACGAGATCCAGAGATACATTGACCTCGTCCCCAACAGTTTGCCCCATGCAGTGACTCAGGACGTTAAGTTCAGAGAATACCTTATTCCCAAGGTGAGAGATATTTCATCTATACTCCTTCTTAGGAATCTTAGATTATCAGCTATCACTGATTGCCTAAACTTCTACACATCGTGCACAATCATAACTTAGTCATCTCACCCTCTGGCCACATGCTACTTTCCTTCTCGTTTGTTGATACAATTTTATAAATATAATATTGCTTACAATCCCACAGGAGTTTCAGGACATTGATAGGTCCACACTCTGTCTGTCCGTTAGCCCAATCTGCTGTCCACTTGCCTGCTTTCCAGTGTACGTTATATTATTCTTACACTTTACTAGTATCCCATACCCCCGACCCTCAACTATCCGTTTCACTTACTTGTCGAAAGTCCAGGGGCCAGCCCGGTGGCATATTGGTCAAGTTCACGTGCTCCACTTCAGTGGCCCCGGGGTTCACAGGTTCAGATCCTGGGCGTGGATATACACACTGCTTATCAAGCCATGCTGTGGCGGGCATCCCACATACAAAGCAAAGGAAGATGGTCGTGGATTTTAGCCCAGGGCCAATCTTCTTCAGCAAAAAGAGGAGGATTGGCAATAAATGTTAGCTCAGGGCTAATCTTCCTCGCCAAAAAAAAAAAGAAGGAAAGACGAATCCGACTGTTTCCTTCCTTTGTATCTGCCCTTGAGCTACCAATCCCTTCCAGAACAGACAATACAGCTCAGCAGGTTGGTATTATCATAAACCCCAGATGTATCCTCAATCCTACCCAAAAAACCTGCTTTATAACCTAACTCAGCTTGCTTCAACATGCTTGATGATGACTCTTGCAACCCTGAATTCTCCCCTTCCAATTCCTCACCATGGTCTTTTTCTCAGGTGACCCGGCCTTTTACCTGACAAGGAAATCAGAGCCATTGGAAGGGAACTCTCTCATTTCCCTTCCACTAGATTTACAAATTTGCTACATCCACACCCTTTGATTTATCTTTCATGCCTTTGTTTTGGAGAAGGGCTCTCTTTTCATCTAAAGTAAATCTTTCTGCCTGTGGCATGTATCTCTTTCCTCTCACTTTTTCTGGGATCCTCCTCAATAATCATTTCTTCCTATTTCTTTTTTTTAATTTTCTCCTTCCCTATTGGACTCTTTCCGTTAGCATTCAAACATATTCAATTCTCTTACATCTTTAAAAAAAAAAAAAACAGCCCTCCCTAAATCTTGGCCCGTCTGTTCAATCCTATCTTATGTATACCCTCAGATTCAAAATCCTGGAAGAAGTTAATTATAGTTATGTAAACATTTCCTATTCAAACTCTTATTCATCAACCCATTGAAAAATACCTTCCTTTCTGGTGATACATTTTAATCAAAGCCATTGGTGACCTCCCTATTATTAAATCCAATGAATGTTTTCCAGGATTAATTTTACTTGGCCTCATCGCGGCATTTATAACCTTAAGAATGTCTTCAATATGTATGTACTCACTTCCCACTTCAGTGACGTGACTATCTCCTAGTTTTTTATTTTTGTTTTTTATTGGTATCATAATAGTTTACAACATTGTGAAAGTTTATTTGTACATTATTATTTGTCAGTCACCATGCATACGCCCCTTTACTCCTTGTGCCCACCCCCAAACCCCTTCCCCTCTGGTAACCACTTATCTGTTCTCTTTGTCAATGTATTATTTTATCTTCCAAATGTGAGTGAAATCATATGATGCTTGTCTTTCTCTGTCTGGTTTATCTCACTTAACATAATACCCCCAAGTCCCATCTATGTTGTTGCGAATGGAACTATTTTGTCTTTTTTATGGCTGAGTAGTATTTCATTGTATGTATATACCACAACTTCTTTATCCATTCATCAGTCGATGGGCACTTGGGTTGCTTCCACATCTTGGCTTTTGTGAATAATGCTACAATGAACATAGGGGTGCATAAGTCTCTTAGAATTGTTGATTTCAAGTTCTTTGGATAAATACCCAGTAGTGGTATAGCTGGGTCATATGGTATATCGATTTTTAGTTTTTTGAGAAACTTCCATACTGTTTTCCATAGTGGCTCTGCCAGTTGGCATTCACACCAACAGTGTATGAGGGTTCCTTTTTCTCCACTTTCTTTCCAACATGTGTTGTTTTTTGTCCTGGTAATTATATCCATCCTAGTAGTTGCAACGTGATATCTCATTGTAGTTTTGATTTGCCTTTCCCTGATGATTAGTGATGTTGAACGTCTTTTCATGTGCCTGTTGGCCATCCATATATCTTCTTTGGACAAGTGTCTGTTCATATCCTCTGCCCATTTTTTTATTGGGTGGCTTGTTTTTTTGTTGTTGAGTTGTTTGTGTTCTTTATATATTTTAGAGATTAACCCCTTGTTGGATATATGATTTGCAAATATTTTCTTCCACTTGGTGGGTTTTCTTTTCATTTTGTTCATAGTTTCCTTTGCTTTGCAGAAGCTGTTTAGTCTGATGTAGTCCCATTTGTTTATTTTTTTTCTTTTGTTTCTCTTGCCAGAGTAGATATGGCAATCAAAAAAAGATTGATGTCAAAGAGTGTACTATCTATATTTTCTTCTAGGTACAATGTCCTAGTTTTCCTCCTATCCCTCGGGATACCTGTTCTCCATATTTTGTGCTCTCTATCCCTCCTTCCATGTAACTTAAATGTTGATGTTCCTCAGCGTTCTGTTGTTGCCCTCTAGTCTTTTCAGTTTTTATGCTTTCCTTCAGAATGATGCCTTGACTCCCAAGGTTGAAGTTTGAGCTGAAGGTTTAAGTTATCAGTCTGTTTTCTACACTATCTGGATCTTGAAAGTAAGTGTTTTTGAATAAGAACCTTCCTAATCCAGGTTTACCTCTGGCTGGACTGGAGAATTACAGGCCATCTCTCTTTTCTTTGGTATTTTACAGTTTTCAAAGCACTTACAAATATCTATAACCCAGGTTACCGTCCTCAGCTTCCAGTGCCCCTGCCCGTGCTTCTGCCTGAATGTTACCAGCTCAGTTCAGGTTTCAGGGCAACTTTTCCCTCAAGTCGATCCCATCATATAAAAGTGTCTATGAGCAAAGTGGCTTCACTGAAGAGTTTAGATGTTAGAAGTTTAATTAGCACACTTCAATGCAAAAACTTAAAAATCATGTACTAGGCATTTAAAGTGCCTAATAGATTTGTCTATAGGTCTCACTGTGAAAATCTGTCTTCTGTTTGGCAAATTTGTTACTGGAGGCATACATTTTGTACTGTAATTTGATTAATTGATCCATTTATCATTATGAAGTACCTCTTTTAATCTCTGATAATACTTTTGTTCCTGATGTCCACTTTGTCTGCCATTAATGGAGCCATATCAGCTTTCTTATGGTTATAGCATGTATGGTAAATCATTTTCCATCTTTTAAATTTCAACTTGTAACTTTAAACAACATATGATTGCTCCTTGCCTTTTTATCAAGTGTGATAATTGTTATGAGACTTTTAATTGGGAAGTTTATTTCACCTACATTTACCTTAAGTTTCTGTATATTTGTATTGAATCTATCGTGCTGGCATTTGATTCTTATTTGTGATTTCTTTTTGTATTTATCCTCTCCTGACTCACTTTATCAATTGTTTGGTACCATTTCATTTTATCTCCTCTGATGATTTTATATTTGTGCCTCTTGACATTTTACTTATGCTTCTTTTTCAGTTGTTTTCTTTTTGTTGTTTTTTTTTTCTTGGTGGTTGATTTTGAGATTATAGTATGTATTTTTAACTTGTCACAGTATATGCTAAAATTATCTTATTCCTTCACGAAAAAATTGACATTTACAGCAATGTATTTCCACTTACACCCTCGCACATTTTGTGCACTTGTTGTAATATGTTTCAGTTCTGTATGTTATTATTTTTACTCTGAAAAGCCAATAGTTTTAAGGAGACTTAAACATGTATATGTATAGAAATAGAAATAACTTTTAACACTTTAAAAAATTATTTTACCTACTAATGCGTTCTGATGTTCTTCATTCTTTCTTTTTTTTTTAAACTGATTCTTTCTTTCTTTCTTTATTTAATTTTTTGTTTATTGCCGTAACACTGGTTTATAACATTGTATAAATTTCAGGTGTACATCATTATACTTCTATTTCTGCATAGATTACATCATGTTCACCACCCAAATACTAATTACAACCCATCACCACACACATGTGCCGAATTATCCCTTTCGCCCTCCTCCCTCCCCCCTTCCCTTCTGGTAACCACCAATCCAATCTCTGTCTCTATGTGTTTGTTTATTGTTGTTATTATCTACCACTTAATGAAGGAAATCATACAGTATTTGACCTTCTCCCTCTGACTTATTTCACTTTGCATAATACCCTCAATGTCCATCCATGTGGTCACAAATGGCTGGATTTCATCATTTCTTATGGCTGACTAGTGTTCCATTGTGTATATATACCACATCTTCTTTATCCATTGGTCCCTTGATGGTCACTTAGGTTGCTTCCGAGTCTTGGCTATTGTGAATAACGCTGCAATGAACACAGGGGTGCGTGTATCTTTACGCATTGGTGTTTTCAAGTTCTTTGGATAAATACCCAGCAGTGGAATAGCTGGATCGTATGGTAGTTCTATCCTTGATTTTTTGAGGAATCTCCATACTGTTTTCCATAGTTGCTGCACTAGTTTGCACTCCCACCAGCAGTGTATGAGAGTTCCCTTCTCTCCACATCCTCTCTAACACACTTCGTTCTTTCTTGAATTTGTTGTCTATCTGATGTCATTTACCTTTATTTTTAGAATGGTTAGCATTTGTTGAAGTCTTGATTTGTTGGAGAGAAGTGTTTTATCTTCTGTTTAACAATGCCTTAATATTAGCTCACTGGTTTGTAATTTTCTTTTTTTGTAATGCCTTTTTCAGTTTTCGCTGTTAGAATTATGCTGGCTTTAAAAATATGTTGAGAAATGTTTCCTTCCTCTCTCTATTTTTTTCTTTTCAAATTATTTTTTTAGAATTATTGAGATAAAATTGCCATATAATATTTTAAGATAT